TGTGTGTGTGTGTGTGTGTGTGTGCTCGTGCGCTCGTGCGCGCGTGAGCGCACGTGCGTGTAATATAAAAATACGTGAGCGTAAACACAAATGCGCATACTATAAATTATGTGACTATTTATTTTCTTCCTTGCAAGAAACCTGTAATTCTCAGCGAAAACAAATTCGACCAACTAAACACGCAGTAAAGGCATTCAGGCCTATTAAATCCGTCCACACCAGCGCGTGTATATCCTTGGGTTGGTTTTGTCAATTAAATTATTGAATCAATCAAATGTAGCTAGACACGCTAGTCTAGCTAGCGGTATCCACCAAAAAACAACAACAAAAAACCGATACTAGATTAGATATCTAGATCTAGATCTAGATCTAGATTTAGATCTGGATCTATGCATTTACCTTTTTTATTTGCTGTTGAAGACATTGACAGCATCTTGAAGAAAGTACCATACATTACTATAATACTATAGATTTAGTATAGATCTAGATCTAGTAGCGTATAGTATCTATTGCCGAAATCTTCATAGTCATAAGTTTTTGTAGCCTATTTCAATTGAAAAAGAAAAGGTCAAAGGTGGTTTGATTTTCTCGAAGAAGATAAACATTGGAACACAACCAAGTTCTGCGTCGCAAGCGTAAAGGAAAGAATGGTAGGCACGAGAAAGTCTAGCAGTAGGCCTTGCCTAGCGTTGACTGTTGAGTTGTAGTAACGGGAGGCATAGCCTTTATTAACGAACAATTGAGGTCGAAAGTAAAAACCTACGCTAATAATTTCCATGCAGACAACAAGTAGAACAAAATTTATACGTAAATAATTCAAGGTGCAACTGACCTGGTCGTCAAAGTGTGTTATCCAATTCGAAAATAAGAAAAATTATCCCATGCGACAACTGAGTCCTGACATGATCTAACGACAGCCCTCGCTTTCCTCTCATGCCTTCATATCCAAGGTAAACTGTGGACCCGCGGCGAATGTCTCGTGTGCTGGCACATTGTGTACGCACAATTCCATGACGTCAGCTCACGTGATACACATAAATATGGCACCCGTCGTCTAGAGTTGTTGAGGTAAGCCGAAATCGAAGATATAAGGTTCGTAGGTACGTTTGCTTCTGTATTTACGTCTTGAATGAACTTGATAAACATATCTGTTTCTGAAGGAATACCGTTTCACCTCTGAAAGTGGTTGTCTGTATCTTGATTCATGTTATTTCCTCAGATTTTCTCTCGTTTCTGCAGTGAGTCACCACTTACCTCGCTGCGTCGTCTGCTATTAAAGCCTATAATATTATGATTCACATTCACTAACCGGATCATATCTATGATCTTTCACAGAACATAAAGCAGAAGAAGGACAAAGGTGTGACGGGGCTATCTGATCGAAGCAACGAGAGGTTTGGCTTGTTTAGAAATTTGTATCACATCGGACCTCCCAGCCATGTCTAATAAAGAAAACAGTGATCTCAGCAATGTTCCTCTCTCAAGTGACAGCGATCAAGGTAAGGGTGAGGAGGATCTTGTAGAGTTCGGTTCGTTAAAGTCCCATGATCCATTTGTTTACATCCAGAGAAGAAATGCGAAAGTCTTGATTACCAAATAGGCAACACAAAGAACAGGGATGCAACCTAACTGCAAAACATCAAATTGTGGTAAAATTCAGGGGTGCGTGTCCCCCCTGAACCCGTGAACCACCCCCCCCCCCCTTCCATATTTTTCTTAGGTCAAGTGCCCCCCTGAAACCCCCCTACTCTTGACTCTTGCGGCCCAAACCGGTGAATAATAATTGGGGGGGAGGAACCTCCCAAAAAAACTGCATTCTTTGCTTGAATTTTTATTTTCTGGCTTTTGTGTTCCTTCCTGTTTCACGCTTTGTTCACTTCTCAACATTACCTGGCAATTCAGGGTCTCTGGCATTCAGCTTTTGACTTAAACGAACGAAGCTACTAAATCACCAGGGTGAGTTCTCTGGGGAGGAATTCCATAACGAGAGACCACTTTACGAAACAGTTGAATAGAGGGTTGGGGTAAGGGCAGGGGTAGGGTTAGGTCTCTTCCTTTATATCAAAATTGAGACGTACAAGGTACATTACCTAACCTGTAAGATGTAAGCACGGAGCAGCTGCAATTCAAAGCCTATACCATCTTCCAAGCTTTTAGTTTGACTGCTGGGTAGGCCTATATATAATATACACTGCTGTTGTGCTGGGGTTTGGGGTTTATGTTTGGTGGTGCGCAGAAGCGGAAAAGTAGTCATGCTCAGGCATGCGCTTGGGTCCTTTGGATGATTCATTTTGTGGTCCTTTGGATGATTCATTTTGTGGTCCTTTGGATGATTCATTTTGTTGTTTGTTTTTTTCTTCCGTAGGTGATCACGCACCGTCTGAGGTCAACAGTGAAAACAACAAAAATGAAGCTTTCTCAGGAAATGCAGCACCTATAAGTAAGTAATTTTTTATTATATGAAAGGATCTTTTTATTTCTTTCCGTGTTTGAGGTGTAGACATACTGATGTCCTCACACTCATCCCATCTTTCCTTGAAATGAAAATTTTACTGGGATGAATGGCCCAAGTTTTAGAAGACTGTGCTGACTGGGATGTGAGGCATCATGTACAAAAATATTAAATTATTTATCCTTGACATGTGTCGCACCAGGATTTTGTTTCTTCATTTTAGCAGGAAGGATTGTAAAGTTTTCATAAGCTTAACTAACTTGTGTCAAGTGTAACTTTCATTTTTGACTCTTCCAAAATGTTTTTAAACTTCTTTTGGGCTCAACCCTCAAACTCTGTGTGGGTGGTTGGCGGGTGCTCTGATGTGGTTTGCTCCTTCTTTCCAATAAAAAATTTATCATCTCTACTCCTTTTTTTTGTGTATGTTACTCTCTTGTAACACCTCTAATCTTCTGGGACTCGTATGACCTTATGCAGTTGCGAGCGCCGTAATACCTCAACTAAAACTTAATTAAAAGAATTGAGATGACTGCGTCCCTTCCTCCCCTTGCAAAGGTTCATGTAAACGCACGCTCCGTATAAACACACGCTAAGGAGCCGTCCAGAGCACCGTGCGTTTATTCAGAGACTACTGTAACCGACTTCCACTTCAGAATTGCTACCCGTAAAAGTAATATTCTAAACAACAGTTCTGTCCCAGAGATATATCACTCGTCTTGCATTCTCTCCCTTCCCAGGTCTGGACCCAGATGCAAACCCTGAAGATGAAGAGGAAAAGCAAAGATTGATAGCCCAGGTTCTGGAAAGGCAAAACACTCTAGATGGTATGTAGACAATGATGTCACTTTAGGCTACCTCTTACCCCCTTTTTGTTGCCTCTCAACACTTTGTGCTGCTTGAAAATTCACCATTTTTGGGCTGTTTTACAGTTCCATGGTCGTCACGGAAGTGGGCAAAATTTGTCGTTCCTGTTTGCCTATATGACGTAACATGTATGTGCCACTAATCATCAGGCTCCAATTCTTCTGTACAGAGATTTAATCACAAGTGCACGGTGGATTCATATCCGAGAATTAAAAAATGTGCTTATATATATATATATATATCGGGACCAACATTTTCTTGTGTTTCTCTGATTGAGAAACACAGGTCTCATCCTGCAGATAAAAGTGTACTCTCTCAAAATGTAAGCTCCAAAATGACTGAAAAAAGGCAACAAATTTCACTTTTTGACTTAGATATCAAGTTCTTGCAAAATTATGGGGAGGATGAGTAAGGAAACTCCGTCAAAGACCAACATACTGTATGATAATCTGGATAGGTCGAACACAGAAGATTCGAAATCACGCATGTTGTTTCTGTCTACCGGTACCTTTCTTAGTTTTTTAAAATACTAAATTAAATGACGATTATTGTGTCGACGTGCACCTCTTTACTCTGCACCAAGCAGCTTTATTATGTCAACAGGCTTCTCTTTACACACACTGTACACGTTATGACTCCCATCTGATTCAGACCGTGGGTGTTTGGTGGGCAATCTGGTTTTGTTTGCGCATTCTTTCCCGCCAATCACCTGTCATCCCTATCTCCCTTTTTTTCCCTCTGTATGTCACTATGTGCCTTATTAAAAGTCCATTTTCATGTGTTTGTGGTCCTAGTGTTTCTATGTTCAAGCACATGCTTTTTGCACACAGTGTGATGTGTGAGTACTTTCTTTTTCCCACCAAACACCTATCGTCTTTATCTCTCCATTTTTCTCTCTCTGTATGTTACAAGCCAGTAACACCTCTAATCTCCAGCTCTTACTTGACATAATTTTGTTGTTAATGGCGTAGAACTCTTGACTCAGTGGGTGGTTTTTCGGGTGCTCTGGTGTGATTTGCTGCTTCTTCTTTCCTATCCAACATCTATCGTCTTTATCTCCCCTCCTTCTTTTTTGTGTTTGTCACTCTTTTGTAACACCTCTAATCTTTGGCTCTTATAATATGACCTCAGTGTGTTGCAAGTGCTCTAAAACACCCACTAAAACATAAAACAAAAACACTAGAACAAAATTCTTGACTCTAACTAAAAGTAAATGGACTGTATTACTGTCCCCATCATTTTATGCAAGAAAAATTCTGAAATTATACAAACTGAGCCCAAAAATGTGAAATTGTGCGATTCTGTTAATTTTAACAAAGAATGATGGAGGAAAATAATCAGAAATTATGCAAAAAAATTGGCTAAATTATGCGGGGTGCATAAAACCAGGGGGACAGGTATCATGTCTGTGGGCTTCTCTGTACTGACTCAGACCTTTTGCCC